TACGTCGTGTTTTACTATCGTATCCATACGACGTGGGGAACTCTGTGCCATCACTTAACCCTATCTATACGTCGTGTTTTACTATCGTATCCATACGACGTGGGGAACTCTGTGACACCACTTAACCAACCACTTAACCCTAACCGTACGTCGTGTTTTACTATCGTATCCATACGACGTGGGGAACTCTGTGACACCACTTAACCAACCACTTAACCCTAACCGTACGTCGTGTTTTACTATCGTATCCATACAAAGTGGGGAACTCAGCGCACCACTTTCAAAAAAAGGAAATTTACGCGTTAATCTGATCCGTACGTTTTGCATAGCAGTCTGTCAACATGAGAAATTCTGAAAATTTCAAAGAGATCTTCGTACTAGAATTATTCTAAAATGAAGAAAACAACCCCGGGGGTACAAAATGACCCCAGGGCGTACGGATATGGTTAAGCTGCTATGTGGGTGGTGGCATTTGAGGGGGTAGCTTTGTCTCTCATTCCTTCTGTCTCTCTAATTCTGTCTTTCTTTCTGTCTTTCTTCCCTTCTGAATCTCTTTCCTTCAGTCTCTGCTTCTTCGGTCTCTCAATAAAGTTACAGCATATTTCTAAAACTAAGTGCAAACGTTTAAGAACCCAACAGAGATAATTTATGAGTGATTCATGTATTATGTCACAACCATCTTATGGAAACAGACAAAATTACCTACGTAAATTATCATTTACTGTCACAAACAGAAAGACAATATTATAAGTAATGAAACTTTATGTCCGTGCACTCAGTAAGGTTGTGTGCTGTACTATAATGTTATGAATTATAATATTATTATTATTAGGTAAACTTAAAATTTTCATCCGGCCAGAAAAAAAGGTAGAAAGAACAAACAAAAGGAAGAAAAAAAAGGAGAAATCGTACAGTGTGAACGGAGTATACATGTTTAGTTGTTGTAGTTGTCATTGTCGTCATCGTCATTGTTGTTGTTGTTGTTGTTGTCTTTGTTGGTTTGGTTATGGGTGTTATTCTTATTGTTAAATTGTTCTTCAATATGACCCTCGCTGAAAAGATTGCGAGACAACAGTAGTTCTCACACACACAGAGAACAGAGGAAACAGGTTGAAAAGATAAGATGGAAAAAATCAGTTTCACACAGACAGAAGAGAGAGGAAACAGAAAATGAAAAAACCCCCAGTATTTTAAAAACCCAAACCAAACAAAATAAAAAAACAAAACAGAAAACAAAACAACAAAAACAACAGATGCCAAAATGTAAAGAAGAGTCTGAGTTGTTCTGTTCACACCAGCAGAGAGTAGGGCTAATAGAACCAAACACACACCGAAGGCACAATAAAGTGAGAGGGCCAAACGATACACTGAAGAGTTAACATACTACTCAAGATTTACACACGTATGGGTGCAAAAACGAAAGATTCAGATATTGAACTACAACATTGTACTAGGGCTCGCAACTGCATAAAGTCATATGAGCGCCAAGGGGTGGATGGCAACAGAGAAGTCCTTACACTTACAGGGAATCAGGCTCACTCTGCTCACCCCTCTAGCCTCAATAGCACAAAGTCTGTTTCGACTCTCAAGGCACCTCGGAAATAGCGGGTTACAAGAGTGTGACAAACATACAAGGAAAGGATGCACAGGACAGGCTTCGCTGGAGAAATGTTGTTGATGGCCTATGCTCCACTGAGAGTTACAAAAGGACAAGAGAGAGATACACAACATTGGAATAACTTGGTGCAACAACAAAAAGGACATTATCAGTCTTTTGCTGATTTATGGGGATTGTGAGGAGGAGGAGGCAGGTGGGAGTTGGGGTGGGAGGGTTGCGCACATTTAGAGCTCTACTACAACAATTTTTAAAACTTTCACCTAGGCGATTATTCCGTGCCATGATAGGTTACATGTGTCATTATTAGAGAGCCAGAAATAAATAAGTCAGGGTTATTGTTTTGTTCTGGGGGAAAAAAATAACATGGTTTTTCTGTGATTTCAGACTAGCAGTAGATATATGCATACTAAAATTTCTCCACATCTTGCCAAATTTCTGCAAAAACTTTAGATGGCTAATACTTTGATATTTCCTGAAGCAACTGAGATGAATTATACTTTAATATTTTTATATCGTAGTCAAAGACAAACTTTTGAAGAAATCATAGGGGTATAAACTAACTTTGATATTTTCGGACACCAGACCATATTTTGTTTGAGTTAATGATTTGTGAGTTATGCTGACAAAATTATTTACTTCTCAAAATCCACAAAAGGAAATATTGGGCCAAAAATCGACTCAACGGTCAATTTGTAGATTTTCTATTTAGGCCATATTCTTTAAGTATAACATTCCTTTTATTATTTCATACTTAAAACTTATTTAAAAAACTTTACCTACATGTATAAGCGTGATGTATCTATTTTCATAAGGCTCGAATCCGAGAAGTAACTCATTTTGTCAGCACGCTTCACATTTTACTTTTCTCTACAAGTCCTATTTGAGATAATGATTTTACTTTTCTCTACAAATCAGCCCCAAATGGACGTACTCACTTCTGGCTCTCTGATGACGTTGTTAAAATGAACAGAGTCATGGTAGGTTACGTCACAGGAGGGATACATTGTACTGAGTAGTGTAAGTCAGAGAGATGTTACAGGGTGTATGTGTGTGAGTGTGTGTGTGTGTGTGTGTGTG